TTTTTTTTTTTTGCCCTTTTTGTTGGACAAATTTAAGTAAGTCTCTTAGGGTTGTAATAGTAGAACTCATTGAGTCATGACCATGTTTTAAGAATTTGATTACTATGGTTCATTTTCTTGATTGATCTTTTATTGCTTAAAATTAGACTGTCATTGGTATCAATTAGACTGTTATTGCTTAAAATTGATTGAAATAGAGAATAGCGATGGTGAAGGAAAGCAACGTATAGTATAATCTTCAAAGTGGTTGTTCATAAAGTTCTAAGGAGATAGGTAGAAATGATTTTCTCAGTCCAGTGGAGATGTATGAAACAAAGAGATGAGAATGAATTTAGTTTCACTATCCCTTGGGAAAATATGATCCATGGGGTTTCTGTCGGTAATATAGCTTATGTGCACAGGGAATTACAAAATGGCTACAGAAATACCGATTATGTATGGAATCCCACTACATTTTGTTTCAACAATCTCGGCAACCCAATTTGTGTTTGCTTTGTCGATTGAGAAGCTACGTGTCATTTGACACGTGTTTTCGTGCTTTGCTGTTTGTTAATCTGTTTTCTATTACTCCTATGTCATATTTCAACAACCCCAGCTAACTATTTTGAAGCCTGTAATCAGTTCATTTGTTCTTATTATGTTTGGAATGTGCTTTCTCTTGAATTTGCCGTGATTTTATGGCACTAGTAAGTATGCATATGGATAGTAAAAAGTAAAAACTGTTATGTTGATTCCAGCATATTGTGTAGTTGTTGAGACACGTTTTTGTTCATCTTTTGAGTTATATAATAAGTTTTGTGTATGATTTTGTTACTGTGTTCTGACCCTGCCAACGGACACACGTTTTTGTTGCTTTGTTGAGTTATATAGCAAGTTTTGAGTATGATTTTGTCGTTGTGCTCTTACGTTGCCAACGGAACTTAACCAACTTAACAATATGAAGTTTACTTTTTGTGTTTTTCACACTTGGACAGAAATTCTATGGTGCCACATGTGGTGCCATAGAATTTCTGCACTTGGAAGCTTAATTAAGCATATGAAGTTTACTTTTTGTGTTTTCCACAATTGGAAGCTTGAGCAAGTGAAGTGTTACAACTTGAGATCACTTTGAACTTGTATGTTGGACTCTTCCACTATTTAAAACCTATTAGCAGAATGAAAGTTTTGTTCCATTGAGTGTTAGATACAATCTTTCTATTCGAGAGCGGCCCTTTTACGGACGGGATAAAGCCCCCTACTACAACTTTGAGAAAAATATTTTGAGTTAGTTTGTGCCCAAAATTACATGTTCGCCTTCTTTGGTCATGTCTAGTGCTGTTAAATTAAACGAGTCTGGCTCGGCTCGGCTTGTTAAGACTCGAGCTCGAGGCCTTAACGAGTCGAGCTCGAGCTCATTTAAAGCTCGTTTGGCTAACGAGCCGAGCTTGGCTCGGCTTGACTCAATAAGGTTCGTTAAGAAAATAGAATTTTTATATAATTTTTTATAGTTTGGCTCGTTAAAGCTGAAGACCGACTCGTTAAAGCTCGAGCTTGAAGCCTTAACGAGCCGAGCTCGAGCTCAATTTCAGGCTCGTTTATTCAACGGCGAGCTCGGCTCGTTTAGAGCCCTAATTGGGTCCTAATTCATAAGCTTAGTCCATATGTTCAATATTTCCAACCTGCTTATGGTGGCCTAATATATCTCTAATGGCTATGGATGGATTCAAGTCATAGCGTCTTGTAAAAGACTACTACTAATCATTAAAAAAAACATACAAATTTATCCGGAGCATGCTACAGTACGACTGGAGCGTACGTATCATCCACGTGCATAGAGAAGCTAATTGTGCGGCGGACTACATGGCAAGTGTGGCAGCATCGTACCCGCTCGGGTTACATCGTGTTTCAATTCCTCCGGACGGTCCTAATTCATAAGCTTAGTCCATATGTTCAATATTTCCAACCTGCTTATGGTGGCCTGATATATCTCTAATGGCTATGGATGGATTCAAGTCATAGCGTCTTGTAAAAGACTACTACTAATCATTAAAAAAAACATACAAATTTATCCGGAGCATGCTACAGTACGACTGGAGTGTACGTATCATCCACGTGCATAGAGAAGCTAATTGTGCGGCGGACTACATGGCAAGTGTGGCAGCATCGTACCCGCTCGGGTTACATCGTGTTTCAATTCCTCCGGACGGGCTAGGTCATTGGATTGACCATGATCTTATAGGGGTATCCTATCCCCGGCGTACTCTTGCTTAAATACTCGGGGCTTTAGCCTCCTTTTTTGTACAAAAAAAAAACATACAAATTTAGGCAAACAGTGGCTCAATTATGTATGCCTAAATTATTAACGCAGAGTTTTTCTTTATATTAGATTAGATTGTAATTGCTGTTTTGGTACATGTGGTGATTGGGACGCCATATCAACCCACCCAAGAATATACAAATGCTGGAAAAGTTCAATTATTTTCCCATAAATTAGTGCTCGAGCTTATAGAGTGAGCCAATGTGATGAGCTTTTTATAACAAAGCAACTACGCGGTACCACATTCTCAAATTTTCACTAGTACAACACTCGCGTAATACATGGGTGCTTGCTAATTTTTTCTTAAAATCTAAAATTAATGAGGAAAAGTAGTTGAAAATTTAAATATCTTTTATAAAAATATATATATTATTATATATAGTATGACACTTTTTTTTTGTGCAACTTACATGTGTTATATTATAATAATTTCTTAATCTTACAACATATAACTATATTAAACATAAATATATCAATTAAAAAATAATTTTATTTTTCTAATGAATTTTAATAAATATTATTATTTATTATTATTATAATGATAAATATAATTTATTTATTTCATATATACAATATGGATGTCAAATCGAAGATCATCAAAAGATGATTAATTTGATATATTATATATGTAAAACCGATAATAAATACAAAAATTATACAAAGAAATAAAGGGTTATATTAGTACAAATGATATTAAAATACCTAAGTTAGCTAAATAATATTTATGGAATGTCCAAACTTAAATTATTAATTATTAATTATTAATATATCAATATTATTTGTTCAAACCTAATTACGAATCATGGTTCTTTGCCAAGTAGGATTCCGAAGCACCAGAAACAGCCACGTAGGCTCTGCGCATTCGTGAATAATATATAGGGAGGATATCACGTTCATGCCCTTGCATAAAGAAACAATCTTTTTTTATACTAATGCCTACCAACTTTACTCTGAAATTGACAACTCTCAAATTTTAATTCTGCAAAAGGCAAAGAGGAGAAAAAAGAGGAAAAAAGAACACTACATTGCCAAAACTTGGAGAGGAAGAAAACTTTACAGCTAGTAAAACAAAGATAAGCAAGTGTTTTTCCCCCCTTTACATACCCAATTCAATTTTTTTGTTTTTCTTCTGTACTTGAATATTAATATTAGTTACCATCTAATATGCCAACCAAAATCTCATCACTGCTCGCCGTGGAAAGGCACCCGGACAATTTTTCCCTGCCAAAAGACGGTAAAATTCGACTCAATCATACACAAGGACAATTTTTCCCTGCCAAAAGACGGTAAAATTTGACTCAATCATACACAGAACAGTAGGCCTTCTCTTAGCTTTAGGCTATCCAAATTGTTAGATATGCATATTCTCCTAACAATATACTAATTTCATGCATTTTTTTTATTTTATTTTTTTCAGTGAAAAAAGCATTATACTGTGTACAAAAATTAGTTAAATCACACCAAACATCGAGGCCATAATCATACCAACAATAAAATTAGCTAAATATTTATATGTAAATGAGACTAACCTGTGTTATCATCCACCATACTTGCCAGCATAAGGCTTTTTCTTGAAAGCTGATCTTGTGAACAACAAGCAAGCCATTACCAGGCCAACGCCCACCAGCCCTCCGAGCACAAGAGCCACCGTTTTCTGCGTGTTTCTCCCTGCCCCAGACCCTTCCCCTCCATCTGCCAATCAGAGCACATCCCTCACATAAAGTTAAAATACGGAAAGAAAAGTATATACATTCGATACATTAGATAGACATTCAACCATCCATTGCCTTAAACCAAATCGTGTAACTAATATCATCATCAAAATCTTGATTTGAACATACAAAATTAGTAAAATCAGTAGCTCTTCTATTAGGTGGTCTAATGGTTCGAAACGGTCGTTCTCTTCAAACAAATTTACATACTTCCGCAACCAAATGTCATACTTTAATTGACAATACAAGCATGTATATATATTGCTAGTTCTCCGACAGGTAGTTCGAGCAGACCAAGGGCTTAACCGTTAATTTGAATAGTAAAATTAGCTGCAAAAATGCATAAATAAGCTCCACCAGCACTAAGAACAGCCCTTCATATTTGTAACAGATAAAACATGCTCCTATCTCAGCTGCAAAATGCCATTGATCTCAATTCTTAATTTCGATTTTGACAAATTGCAGAATGTTAATAATTTTCAGTCAGACTAACTAAATCAATGGATTGTTTAAAGGATGCTTGGACATATCCAAAAAAATCCAATCATTTTTAACTAATCATTAATTTTAATTCAAATCTGACTCAATTAGTTCAATCTCACTATCCTCAATATTATCAATTAATTAAATAATATCACTCAATCGTTCTCACATATTATATCAATCTTAATTCACACTGTTCGTACACTCACATATCATCACTTCACACTATCTCTCTCCTACTTTTACATCAACTCAACTTTAATTATTTTATTTCAAATATTGTTTTAATATAAATTCAAAATCTCACTAACAACTAAACTTACTAATTTTTTTCAAAATTAACTATATCAAACCAAAAAACCAAACAAAATCAATATATATCAAGATCAACTTCAACCAAAAAAAAAAAAAAAAAAANAAAAAAAAAAAAAAAAAAACAACGACCACAACAAATGAAACAAAATTAACTAGTTTTTTTTGTTTTTTTTTCATGTATTCAACCATACATAGCCTTAAACTAAATCATGTAACTAATATCACCATCAAAATCTTGATTTCAACATATGAATTTAGTAAAATTAGTTGCAAAAATGCCCAAGTATAAGCTCCACCAACGTTAACAGCAGCCCTTCAAATTTGTTAAAGATAAAGCATGCTCATAATTTTCAGTTGGACTAACTAAACCCAAGATTTGTTTATTAACTTGAACCCAAAAATGTCAGACTAAATGAGCAGTGGAAGCCAAAAAAAAAAAAATATATCCAAATGAAACACAATGAACCATTTATTGTGTTCTTCGTTTTTTATTTTTCATTTTTTACCTGACGGTGAATATGGATGCTGTCGGTTGGGAACGCCGCTGGGGTAATAGGTGTAGCTGATATAACATGCCTGAAGGTAAATCTGAGCCGAAATCGAGCCACCGCAGACGGAATTGGACCTGTCAATCGCACTTTTCACACAGTCCGCGCAGTCTCCGCCGCTCAAATCACCTTCGCACTGACCCAGCACATACACCGACTGATACGCACCCGCGTAGTACCCGCCGTTTGCCACGCCCTTGACCACCTCCCCCAGAGCCGAGTCGAGCAGGGTCTCGAACCCTGACCCAGACGGCCTGCTCGATCCGCAGACCTTGTACAGCAGCTCGGTCCCGCTCACCTGCCGGAACCCCGAGATCTCGTACCTGAGGTAGCACCCGTTGAGCTGTACCCTCGCCGCCATCGCGTCGCCGCAGAGCCTCCTCGCGAGGCCCCTGGCACGCTCGACGCATCCGCGGCAGCTCCCCTGGGAGATGTCTCCCCGGCATTGGAAGAGTCCGTTGAGGGCGGAGGGGGATCCGTCTCCGGCGGTCGACTTGTGGAACTTAGCGGCGGAGGACTGGGAGACCAGGGAGGCGAGGAGGGTGTCGAGTGTCTGCTTGTAGACGGCGTTGAAGTTCGGGAAGCTCTGGTCGGCGCATCCCTTGAAGACCAGAGCCGAGATGTCGTCGGCGGAGGAGGAGGAGCGGAGGAGATAGATGAAGGTAAGAGAGAGAAAGAGGAGCGATTGGGGAGGACGGGGACCCATTTGGAATGATTATTGGGTGTGAAAATTTGTGAGATGAGAATTTAGGGAGTTTTTATTTATTTATTTATTTTTTTTTTTAACTGTGGGTGATTTCTAGAATTATTTTTTTTGGGAGCTTATGTGTGAGTGATTAGTGTGAGAGTGGCAGCAACTTTATGAGAGTACCTATATTCGCACTGGCAAGCTGTGTGGCAACGTTTATTTGTACAATTATAAATAATTTAAAAGTTTTTACCATGTTCTCAAAACCGAACCTGTCATCAAATCAGTGAAGCTACCGATTTAATGTTTTATTGGTCGAATCAGTGGTCGAACTGGTTTAACGGATATATAATTTTTTTATTTATTTTATATGTATAATATATTATATATTATCATATATATTTTTATTAATAATTTTGTAGTCTATAATAACATTTGTGTAAATAAATAAAAGGAAAAAAAAAATTGTCTACATGTTAACCACATTTTATAAGAATACTATGTAAAGCCCAAATAAGACAAATGACTTATATAGTCCTTTCAGCCTAGAGCCCAAATCAACAATTAAATTAGCAAAAGTAAAAATAGGCCCAAAACAACCATTAAGTTGGGCAAAAGTAAAAATAAAAAAAGGACGCAAGTAGGCCCTCTAGCAAATAGACAAGCCATTATGCTTGTGTACTCCTACCGAGTGGCGAAACCAACCGGTCATCCCGGGGAGGGCCCAATTTACCGCGGCGCACCACCCCCACTCCGACATCGGAAGGGCGCTCAAAGGGCTTTTGTGGATGCTCTCAAAAATTTTCGCAGGATATAAAGGAATACTCTAGAGATTTTTCTAAAAATCAAACTAAGTCCGGAATTAAACTGGTATACTTAAATTGAATTGTTTTAACTCGAAAAATACTCGAACTTATACTAATAAAAACCTCGGCCTCAATTATAATAATAATCAAGAATTATACCTCCTTTCGAATAGACGAAAAGCTAAAAAAATTGAGAAAACGAAGCCTCGGACGATCGAACTCGTCCTCGACAAATTTGCTCCTTTTGATACTATTTAATGCATAAATTCAAACTCCCATAATAAATGCTCGAAACTCCAAAAAATGCAAAATTTGTCCGTATGGAATCGTGCTTGAATTGTCTACACACTCCAACTCGATTCTCGTTAAACCGAGGTCACACGCGACCTTACGGAACCCCGCAAAACGGTTTTTTATTTTTCTATTATGCGCACTCGACTTCGAGCTTCTCAAAATAAATGCTCGAAACTTCGAAACGTGAAATAAATTTTACGAACGACTTCTACTGTTCTCGTGCTTTCAAGAAAGCACTCCCGCTAATTTTCAGCACGCCTAACGAGGGCCGACGGTTACCCGAAGTGTAGACATGAAAATGACAATAAAATCACCGTCACTGCCATTTTTCTCTCAACTTTGGGCTACCCAAAATAAATGGTCGGGACCTCAAAATCATAAATCGATGCCACCAACGCACTCTCCGTCCCGTACTTTCATAAAAGTATTTTTCGGTAATGATCGACTCGATTTTTGAGTCCCGTCGGTACACAGCAAGTCGGCTAATTAACCAACTAAAATATAATAAAAATAAAAAAAATATTAAATTATGCTGCTGTTATAGTTCTCCTTGTCCCGAAACCAGGATCCCATTTCGGGGAGGCCCAATTTGCCTTTAAAAAAAATTTTCACGACAAAACCGTTGGTGCCCCTCCGACCATGTATGTACCGCATGAAACCGGTAGGGCCCAACATGCGCGCTCAAATGAAAATCTTCCAGTTCCAGCAAAATCCTCCACCCCTAGTTCGAAATTTTTTTTTTGGGAGGGCCGTCGCCTCTCCGGGTGCCAACATGGTTTCGCCCCTGCTCCTACTCCCACATCGGATGAACAAACCAAAAATGTCCGCGTCTTAAATGGTTGTACACACACAAAAGGACACAACTGGGCCGGTGGGCCGCGTTAACTGCTCCCGGTTCAATGTTTTGGCAGTTTTTGACCATTTTGGGCTCCAACGGTCTATTCCTCAATCGGACCAGTACACTAGCCAGTTCCCGGTTAAATCGGTCGAACCGGCTGGTTCGGTCCGGTTTTCAGAACATTGGTTAAAATTATACGAGCGAATGAATAATGCATTAAGGTGATGTAATGTTTAAAGATGATTGATTGATATTTTTAATTATTTTATTATTTTTGTATCACACATACTCTTATCCCACATTTTAAATTATTTTTTTTCCCAAACATTTTATTATCTATTTAAATAATATATATATTTAATATATTTGTATTTATCTTTTGAAAAAGAAAATTATTATTTTTTTAAATCCAAGTAGACACACAAAATAGCAAAAGAAAAAGCCCAAACAAGCCGTTGTGCTTTGAAATGCGGTCTTAATTTGCCCTAGTAATGGCTCCTTCATCCACGCTTTCATGCCGCACGTGTAGCACAAACTCCACTACCCCCACTCTCACATCAATATCTCTCCCCCATTCTCAAATTGGAGCTCCAAAATGCCCTACTCCTCTCCCACAGACTAAAGCACAGAGAACGTGCTGGTAACCCTTCTCTGTTCTTATCATTTTTTCTTTAACAATTTTTTTTTCCTGATTTAGTTACTGCATTCATTTTTCAGTTTCGTACATTTATTAGCGTCAATAAACCCTTGTTTTCTTGTTTTCCCCATTAAATTTTGTTTTGTTTGATGATGTTTGCCCTTTCTCTCGTCTGTGTTTGTGTCGTTGTACATTTTGTCGAATCGTTTCTTGTTCTGGTTCTTGTTCTTGTTCCTTTTTTTTTTTTTTTTTTTTTTTTTTTTTTTTTTTTTTTTTTTTTTTTTTGGAGTTTAGGGTTTTGCAACTCCTAGATTACAGCGATAGCACTTGTATAATCCGAGGTATCGAGGTGAATTTTGTTTACTTTAATGTCGTCTTATTTTGGTTGGGAAAAAGTTAGATTTTCTGCCCAAAAAATGTTTATTTTTTAACCCCTCGTAGTAAACGTGAAAATTGGAAAATGTGGATAGCATTTGTATTGCATGTATGGAGCCATTCCTCTGCAGCCTTCAAGATAGCAATTTATATGAATGGTGAATTTGTTTTGAGCTCTATTAGCTTGTATATGTGTTTCATTGTGCTGGTTACTGGAATAGCCATTGAGTTTATGGGCGTGGGGGGCTTTTATGTACAACTTAGTATAAATCGTGCTTTCAAGTACCTGTTAGAATGTCAAGTTAAATTATGGTTCCTAAAGAAGCATGCTGTATAAGTTGACCCTGATATCCAAAAGGCAAGTTTAGTGGTGTAGAAGTTCATTAGAGCATTTCCAAGAACATTTGTCGTGTGCTAGGGAAAATTCTTCCGATATATTTTCTACTTTGGGGCTAGACATTGAAGCATTCTATTAGCTGCAATCATTTATCTGTTCCTTTTAACTTTTGTCTTGTTCATATAATTTTATGCAGTCTTAGCAGGAATTTCATATTTTATTCGGTTATTGGCAACATTCCATGTCAAGGTCTACTGTGTTTGTGGGTAGACATTATATTTCTACAGAAAGCTACGACAAGGCATTGAAAAACACGAACATTGCTACAAGTAATCTTTTGTTGGTCAGCTGAATTGTTATGTTTCTGGTGCAGGAGGCAAGGTAGGTGGTGGTTCCATGTTCTTTTTCGGCAAAGACTGAAGCATTGACTTACTCGTATTGCCAACAGCAGTTCATCTTTTCCCTAAAGTAAGTGCCCATTAGTTAATCCAAAATGATCATTTTTCCACTATATAGAGAAACTGCTATACAATAGTTAATAGTTTATAACAACTCATAGACCTGAGTTAGCCTAGAGGAAGAGTATATCTCAAGTAGTAGAATGAACTTACTCTGCTGTTGCCTCCAGTATCCACTGATCCAGGCATATGGACATTATCTGGATTTTAATTCAGGCCCTCTGTTTAGCTATATCATTTTATCTTTTTATTTTCTTAGTCTAGTAAAGATGAATATTTATACCTCAATGAATGTACGTAAGGATGTTTACTTATTGGTGAAAAATTAGTTTGAGTCTATAATCCACCTTATTTCTGTGAATGGGGCTAAACATCGATTCTCTGCTTACAATTCTGTAGACTTGATATTAAATCTTGATTTCCTGCCAATGACATATCATGGTCCATCTTGCATAGGCTTAACCGTATAATGATTGCACACATCAAGAATTTTATTGTGGGTCTGAAGGTATGGACTTACCCTAGTATAGGCTTCGTCACCTTTCTCGAGACTTGAAGTCGAAAAGATTATATGCTTTGCTGTACGTACCATTATATGATTTCTCTATGCGCGCTACTAGGCCTATCAATGTTTTGTTTTCTCCAACAAACTGAGTGGTAGCATTTATATTGTTACCTTAGTCCTGCTTGCTGAAATTGTTGAAAATTTGATGTTTGTTAGGAGTTTCATAGTCAGCAACACAAAATCTCTAGAAATGAGCAAGGAAACAAAAGCGAAAGTTGCTGGAGCCTTTCGTGCTATGAAGGCTCTAGGGATTTCTGAAGAAAAAGTGAAGCCTGTTTTGAAAAATTTGCTGAAACTGTATGACAAAAACTGGGAGCTAATCGAAGAAGAAAATTATAGGGCCCTTGCTGATGCTATATTTGATAGAGATGAACGAGAAGTAAGTGTTACAGGCTGAACACATGTTAGCTCTCTTTGTTTCCATGTTTTTTCTGCTCCCTTCTCCCAATTGTCGTAGTTGACTTATCTTGTTTAATTGGTATCTCTGCTTCTATTGCCTGTTCTTATCAAACTGAGATTGATTTATGTTGTATTGTCTCTCAGGCAGAACAGCGTTCAAAGAAGACTGTGAATAATGATGTAGGTGTCTTTTGCTCCGTAATTGTGTTTGGTAATTCAATATATTGATGCAGATATGCTTTTATAATCAATCTTCTTTTTTCCTTTACTCATTCATTTACATGGGAAGATGACTTAAGTGCTAATATTTTGAATAATTTCTTGTTGCAGGCAGTAGAACAGTCAAAGAAGATCGTAAATACTGAAGAAGTAGGTGATTGTCATAGTTATTAGCACTTTGTATGGATTATAGCCATTTTAAGATTATAATTTAGATCATATATCTGCTATCATTATTCAATCCCTTTATTCCTCGATCATTTAGCCAACCTACATTTCCTAAAAACAAAGAGGGTTATTTTCAGGAAGAAACTCAGGTACCTGAAGAGCCTGAGCAGCCACTGAAAAGATTGCGACTTAGGTATCGAGATGGTCAGACTTCCTCAAATCCATCTAACAGCGGCTTGGCAAAACCTTTACTTATCGAGCCCAAAGAAGAATCCAGTGAAATACCTGAAACACATCCTCTGAAGATAAATGGGTCACTTAGCAAATTGGATCCACCTCCGCCCAATGCGGAAAACACGACAAGCCAATCATCAGGTAGAAATAAAGGGAAACAGCCTGTTTATTCCAAATCCTTGGTTCTTCATGAGAATTCTGATCCCTCCCAGCCCAGTGGCTTCAGCAACAGCCCACAAAATGACCAATCGAGATCTGGAATGGGTAGAAATAAAGGGAAACAGCCTGTTTATTCCAAATCCTTGGTTCTTCATGAGAATTCTGATCCCTCCCAGCCCAGTGGCATCAGCAACAGCCCGCAAAATGACCAATCGAGATCTGATTCCAGACAACAATCCCATTCAATGAGGCTGAGAGAAAGAGGGACGAAAGCTGACTCTCCTCAAGTCCTATCCCGAGGAAAGAGGCCTGCTCCTGAGAGTTCATCCCGTGGTGTACGTCTTAAAGAGCCTAAGATTGAGCCTGACATCGGTTTATCATCAGGAAAGGCAAATACTGAGAGTCTAGCTTTGATTGTGCCTAAAGATGAGCCAGTGACAGACGATATGCCATCTTTGGGGGTCCGTGATGTGATAATTCATACAGGTATGACATCTCTTTTGCAAACTGTTTCGATGTTTGTTTTTTAGTTGATGGGTTGCAATTATTTTATCTCAAGTGCAAGGATCCCTACATAGGTGACTTATTTGACAGTTACAGGGTGGTGCCTATCACACCTCACTCTAGGATGCTGAAATTTCATAATTGAAGATGGATTGAATGCATTCTTTGTCAATTTTACTTCCTAGTTTTTTTTGACTAGTCAATCTTAATGACTTGGGAGCTCGAATAGGTTATGAAGGATATCACTCTGCTGTTTGCGAGTTGCATAATAAATTTACTTTTGTTAGTTGAATGTTGGTGTCTATGTGTGCTGTGTGGTATGGTGTGAATGATTCCCTGCAACATTGCATTCATTCTACTTGAGGTGTTTTTATATTTGAAAATGCAGCTGCGAACTAATCATAACAGTAATGGCACGTAGATGATTTCACTTAATAATATTATCTCCTACAAGAGTCCTTCATTGTCTGCAGTTGCAACATAATGTAATGCAACACTCATTCTCATGATGAAGTTCAACTTTACAGTGACGTCCAACGGAGGAGATTTATCAAGTGGGCTTAGAGAAGATTGTGATCCTGAACCCTTTGCATTACAATGTGTGGATGTACAAGTGACAGCTGATGGTGCCACAACCCCACATGCATCCGGAAGCAATGGTGGGCTCGCAATAGTCTCAAATCATCGCCCTTTTAACCTAGAGGTTGCTTCCTCACCCTCGGGAGAAGTGAAATTCTACTTGAGTTATGATCCAGCTTCTACAAATCCTGATTTTCAGATGCCTGCTCGTGAGGCGGTTCTAAAATTAGTCGAGGATAAATGTCTCAGGTCACCCAATACTTTGGATCCACACATCTCTATGATGGATGTTCTTAAAGAAATGTGTCAGTGTTTTTTGACAATCGGAACTGATTGCAATAGCCAGTCTCTAAAGCCGCCGGATGTGACTCCGACCATTGATTCATTGAGTAAATCGTCAGCAGTAGACGCTCTAGGTGCTGGGGGTTCTTGTTCTAGTCCTTTAAATGGGTCTATGTCAGTCTATTATCGAACTCGTTCCAAGGCATCCCAGGCCCAAAAACCGACACTTTCTGAACCTCGTGACGACGTAAACCATGAGCAGCAGCAGGACAAAAAGTGTCCTGGAGATGAACTTATGGCAAATGGAGAACATGAAGGAAATGGTGTCGAAGAGAAAAATGATCTAAGTTTGGAGGTTGTTGTTCAGCAGCCTCTGGTGACTCCTGGAGTCATGAGGTCACTTAATTCCGTTATTGATATTGCCAGGGGACAAGAAAAGGTTGTGATTACCGTAGCGAATGATGTTAATGATGACTCACCCCCATCTTTCTCCTATATACCCCAAAATGCTGCATACCAGAGTGCATATGTGAATTTTTCTTTGGCTCGTATTGCAGACAAAAATTGTTGTGGTTCTTGTTCTGGTGACTGTTTGTCGTTATCCGTGCCCTGTGCGTGCGCACATGAAACTGGAGGCTATTTTGCTTACACACCGGAAGGCCTTGTGAAGGAGGAGCTGCTTAAGGAGGCTATTTCTATGAATCGTGACCCGAAGAAGCATTGTCAGTTTTTTTGCAAGGAGTGCCCTCTGGAAAGATCCAAATGCGAGGATGTTATCGAGCCTTGCAAAGGGCATCTGGTGCGAAAGTTCATAAAAGAATGTTGGTGGAAATGTGGTTGTGACAAACAATGTGGCAATCGGGTGGTGCAGAGAGGCATAAGCCGCAATTTGCAAGTTAGTACTAGAGAGCTTGAGTTCTACACCATGTTTAGTGCAGCCGACCGCACTTATTATTATTACAATTATTATTATTATTATTATTATTATTATTATTATTATTATTATTATTATTATTATTATTATCATCATCATCATCATCATTATTTATTATTATCATCATTATCATTATTATTATTATTATTATTGTTATTATTATTATTATTATTATTATTATTATTATTATTATTATTATTATTTTTCTCTTATTGTGTGTTGTGTTAGGTGTTTATGACTCCTGGAGGAAAAGGTTGGGGTTTACGTACCCTGGAGGACCTGCCCAAGGGTGCATTTGTATGTGAGTATGTTGGGGAGGTTCTGACCAATGCAGAGCTCTTTGATCGGGTCTCTCGGAGTCCTAATGGGGAGAAGCACTCGTATCCGGTGCTTCTTGATGCTGATTGGTGTGCAGAGGGAGTGCTGAAAGATGAAGAAGCACTTTGCTTAGATGCTACATATTACGGAAATGTAGCAAGGTTTATCAATCACAGGTATGCGGTATGCCCGTTTGTATTGAGAGTTCATTACATTGGGTTTTACCCTACTCTCTAGCTGTTTCCATTATTTATTTATTTATTTATTTCAGTTGTAGGAATAGTGATTTAGTAAAGCACACATCGGGATGTAGTTGACCAACCAGGGGTTATTAGTGATTGTAAACAGAAGCATACAAATTATAATTGTGTGGTGAATTAGTTATAAAAGTGATCCATGTGTTCTGAGTTAGACGCATAATCAGATTGCTCCGTTAGATATTAGGTTTTATTGAAATATGCAGAATAAGAAGCAGATTGTAAGACATTCGAAAATTTGGCACTCACATTTTTTGTAAACGCATTGAAGTGCTAGGTATTTTCTGGTTTAGATGTAAAATATCCCTGTGGTTTACTTATATAATATCCACATAATTGACGTGTACGGAGATGCTTTTCTGCTTCTATTATGTTCTCATTTAGTAATTGTTACAATTGAGCCTTCTACTTCCTGCCCCAGGCCTCTGAGAAAGATAAGTCGGTCTGTCTACTTCAATACTGATTTTGTTGACCTGCCTTTTTCATTTTCTGCAATTGTGATAGATGTTTCGACTCGACTTTAGTGGAGATACCGGTGGAAGTGGAGACTCCTGATCACCACTATTATCATGTACTCAATTGAATGCACTTTCCCCTATATAGCTTCTTTCAGTTTTTAAGTTTGCTGAATAGCCTGAATTCAAGTTCTTTCTTACAAGCTAATTGAATATTGCCTCCCAGCTTGCCTTCTTCACCACAAGGAAAGTCAAAGCCATGGAAGAACTCACATGGGTAAGTGGATTTAATTTACAATGTTTGCAATTTGAACTAATTTGCACCCATATTACTATATAGGTTAACAGTGGACCTTTGAATGTTAATAGATGCCGATGATTAAATTTGTATGTTAGTAAATAGAGTATGGGGCTCAGTAGTGAGGCTAATGGTATTATTTCGAAACAAGTGGAATGAAATTACTTACTGAGTTACTGTGAAATAATCGATTGACTACAAGTTATAAAAATACATTCTCAGTCCGGGCAGTTGATGGACATTATGATTAACAGAATATAGCTGGCGTGTCGTATCATCACTTATGAGTTAATACCCGATTTTTCCCATCTTCCAAAATATAAAAAGTCAGGAATATTATTATATTGCACACCGGCAGATGTGCAATCCTAGCTGCAACAAAACGATGAAGCATAATCATGTATTATAAAGTTCATTTTCCACTTTTAGTTTTTTTTTTCAGATTGTGCTCTTTATTTGGTTGCAGGATTATGGCATTGATTTTGATGACCACGAGCATCCCATTAAAGCATTTCGTTGCCAGTGTGGCAGCAAATACTGCCGCAACATAAAGCGTCGTACGTATCATTACATCATCCACTATTTTATTTTTTATTTTTATTTTTTCTGTTACATCTCTTCTATTGACCTCAATCTTTTTATCGTATTTCTATAATTGTTTTGTAGGAGCTCGAGCCTCTAGGAAATGATCATGCAGCTATATATATCCTCAACTACTGGCTTTGCCCCTCCCGACAAATAATTCAATGACATGAACTAGATTATGGTTTTTTTAAGAATTAGCTGCAATTTTACCAGATGAACTTGGCTGAATCAACAGAAAACGAGGCTTTTCGCCTTCTTGCTGTTGTAACTTGTTTGATGTATGACTTATGAGAGGGCCGGGGGTCCTAGAATATTGTTCGAGCACTACAAATTTTCTGGCCCTTTGCTGATATTTATGTCGAAACTTCGGTTCTTGGGAGTCGCTGAAAAAAAAAATCTATTTTTTATATATATATACTTTTTTCATTACCCATATTCTATTTTATGAAATGAACTTGATCTTGTTTTTCTCAGGGATTATGATTCTAAAAAACCATATGATTATTACCCACATTGAAATAGCTGCAATTTGTTAACATCATGTATACAAGTGCCTCGTTCAAAACATTTCATAATTCATACGGTTTTCATCTTGCATACACCACACTGAAATAATTAGTGGATGGCAAGATATGAGCATAACAATGAATGATAAACATTAGGTGGATGTTACGGTTTTGTTACGGAATCATTCTGTCAGGATTTGTAATTGCTAGATTAACTATTCTTGACGGTTATATGATGATCTAACGATTACAAACCTTAATGGAATGATTGTTACATGATGATTTGTAACAAATTCTGTTTGTAATCGCTAGATTAATTAGATTAACTATTCTTGACGGTTACATGGTGATCTAACGATTACAAACCTTGATGGCATAATTGTTACATGATGATATGTTCGACAGAATGATTCCGTAAAAAAATCACAAAATTGTATAACGTGTCCGTACAAGTGAACAATCCTGAATTGTTGCATCATTCGACAGATCATTACAAGCCGAAAACGCCCCAACATGGGAGCTTGTCAACATTGGGCCTAACAACACAGCTTTTAATTTTTTTAGTTGGGCTAAGCCCATACGACGAACCGAAAACCCTAACCCACTTCGGTGCTCCTTTAGCAGCATATAAAACCCTAGCGCCTCCTCAAAATCCTTCATTTTCATCCGAAGGAAGGGAGTACAGAGAGAGATCTACACAAATGTCGAAGCGAGGTGCAGTTCATAGTTTACAATTCACACTCTGTAGATTCCGATCAATGTATGTATTATCGTATTTTCTTGTGCCTTAACGATGATTCTGTGTGCTGTCAGGACGCGGAGGCTCCGCGGGGAACAAGTTCAGGATGTCGCTGGGTCTGCCGGTGGCGGCGACGGTGAACTGCGCCGACAACACCGGCGCGAAGAATCTCTACATCATTTCGGTGAAGGGGATCAAGGGTCGCCTCAACAGGCTTCCTTCTGCCTGCGTTGGTGACATGGTGATGGCCACCGTGAAGAAGGGTAAGCCCGATCTCCGTAAGAAGGTCATGCCCGCCGTCATTGTCCGCCAGCGCAAGCCGTGGCGCCGAAAGGACGGGGTCTTCATGTACTTCGAAGGTATTATTAGCTTCTTGGTTTGTTTATTTCAGTTCTTTGTTGTTGATACTATGGTCTTTGCATTGTTATCACAATTGCAACTCATCTAAGGTTATTGCAAATTCAAGCATGTTTTGAAGTTTTAAGCTTCTCTGTTAAGAGAAAACATTATGAAGTAGATCTTTCAGATTTTGTCTTTATCTTGTTAATCAGTACCATTGATGATTTCTTAATGCTATCATAAGCTTCCTATGGAACAAAAGATTCAGAGGAGGATTGAAAATTTTGGTTGAACATGCTAAACCTGCATATATTTATATGTCTCCAAAATTCAATGCCGAATCTATGTGAGTTAAAATTTGTGAATAATGTAGGTGTTTTATATAATATACTTATGAGATGCATAGTTGTTACTGATAGATAGCTGTAAGGCACTTGCTTAAATTATGTTGTAATGAAAACTATGTTCTATACTTTAGATTGTCATTGAGTTGCCATCTATATCAAGTGGAACTTATCGTTGAGGATGATTTTTCATCTAATCCTTTTTAGTTGGGTTTTCACTTCATGTCTTGTGGGGTTTAGTCGAAATGTATTTGCATTATGGTTTTGTTTGTGTATATCGACACATTCAGTTGTCAAGTGAAATTTTAATGTATGTTTTTGTTGTAAATGCAGACAATGCTGGGGTCATAGTGAATCCTAAAGGTGAAATGAAAGGTAATATATTTTTAAGATCTCTTTATCAGACTCTATTAATCGTTTTTCTGCTTTTCATTTGTTTGTGCATTTATATTTACTTTGATTTGTTAATGTTCAGTACATTGCCTTGTCCTTTTTATGTCTAATTCATCTGACTTTTGTCTTTTGTTTTAAGGTTCTGCAATTACTGGCCCAATCGGAAAGGAGTGTGCTGATCTTTGGCCTAGGATTGCCAGTGCTGCAAATGCCATTGTTTAGAGATTGTGTCTTGTTTTACAATTCGTTCTTGGCTGCGCAATCCTTTTTCTTTTGTTATATTGCTAGACTGATGAAAGCTCTGTTACTGCTGAATGGATTTTTGTTAGAGCCGAGGATTTTTGGTATTCGGATTCACCTAATTATTGTTTTTTGTGTTACTCAATTCGTGTGTTTCAATCTTCTATATAGCCATCGTATCTAAATCGATGAAATCGCGGTTGTTCTCAGTTTAATTATATATTCAGGAGGTGAATGGGGATATATTCTAATAAATTTGGTGAACATAGATATCTTTTGCAAGTCAGCCAAAAGATGTTCTATAGGTCTTGAAATTGGTTTCAAGAACAAAACTTAAGTTCAAGAAATTAGCTCAACCAATGGTAAATGCCCAACAATTTCTACGAGGAAATAACTAATTTGTCATATCACAAGAGGAACACGATACGATGATGTGTAAATTTGTTATAAAAGTGTTGCTATGTGTGAAATAAAGAATTTCATATATTATGTCAAAAATTGAAAAAATGTCATTTTATATGTTAAAATTGGCTCTCTGCTGGTTGCTACATTTTTTAGTGTACATTGGTTATTAGACGAGTCAGACCTTGAAGGTAATTAAACGTGCAAATGGAAAGGTCCGTGATGTCGGAACTGGACCAAAATAAAAGAAAAAAACACGCCTACCCTAATCTATCTATCTATTGTATAAACTCACTTGTCATTTTAATTTTATATGGATCTTACATAGCACTGTCAAACGGGCCAGTGGCCGGCGGGCTGGCCCGCCCGCCCGCTTAAACAGACGGGTTTGGGCCTTTGCTTGGCCAGCCCGTTCAATCGCGGGCCTATTTGGCCCGCCCCGTTTGGCCCGCGGGCTGGGCGGGTTGGCCTTTTTTTTTTTTTAATAAATTATTTAAATGTAGTATTTTTATTTTACTTCCAATTTCTAACTTGCACATGAAACATTTTTTTTTTTACATAATAAAAATATTAATAAATCAAATAATATTTTATGTCAATTTAGTCGTTCCTGCGCGTGAATACCCTATAACTATTGATAAAAAAAAATAAAAATAAAAACTAGATGACAAATATTTAACATCATTACACATGAAACCTTACTAGTTTATTAATATACTAATAAATATAAGAATAAAAAACCAAAAAATATATAAGAGTGCAAATACCATAAAAAAAAAAAAAACAAAATAAAACAAAACCCGCGGGTGGGCCAATTTGGCCTGCGGGCTAATGCGGACGGGCCACGGGCTATGTATTTTCCAGCCCCCAGAAATGCGGGCCATTTTGGCCCGCCCCGTTTGGACCGCGGGCCAACATGGGCCGGAGCGGGTCGGATCGGACCGGCCCGTTTGACAGTGCTAATCTTACAACAGTCTTATTATTTTTGAAAAGTCTTCACATTCTTTTGACATATAGATATATACTAGTATAAATACACAGGTACTTACTAAATTTTTTCTTAAAGTCTAAAATTAATGTGAAAAAAGTAATTGAAAATTTAAATACCTTTTACAAATATATATATATATATATATATATATATATATATATATATATTATATATTTAGTATATTATTATATATTTAGTATCACACTTTTTTTGTGTGGACTTACCTGTGTCATATTATAATAATTTTTAACTTACAACATATAACTACATTAAAAATAAATATATCAATTGATAAATAATTTTATTTTATTAATGAATTTTAATAAATATTATTTTTTATTATTATAAAAATAAATATAATTTATTTATTTCATATATACAATATGGATATCAAATCGAAGATCATCAAAAGATTATTAATTTGATATATAATATATGTAAAACCGATAAGACATACAAAAGTTATCAACTTTTACATACATTTACAATTCAATAGCTAATTGAAGGAAACAAATCAAAGTTGATAATTAAAGGGTTATATTAGTAAAAGTGATATTAAAATACCTAAGTTAGATAAATAATATTTATGGAATGTCCGAACCTAGATTATTATTTATTAATATATCAATATTATTTGTCCAAACCTAATTACGAAGCATGATTCTTCGCCAAGTAGGATTCCGAAGCACCAGAAATAGCCACGTAGGCTCAGCGCATTCTGGAATTATATATAGGGAGGATATATATATATTATTGGCAGATGCATTAAATAAAATCTATTTAATAAAACTTTCATAATTTTCCCACTCATTTTTTCAATTAATGTAAAAACATTATGTTTTACATTAATAAAGCGTAATAATAATTTTAAAATAATTTATAATATAATATTGTTACTAACACTATATGATTATAATTTTGCATTAAATAGTATGTGGAAGTTACATACTTATAAAAAATTGTATTGCAATTTTTTTCTTTAAAATAATTTTTGTAAAATAAATTATTTTTTATCTTTTTAAGCGATTTTTATCTAATATTAATTAATTGGCATGAGTGTCATAATTAAACACTTTAAAATCGTTCAGACAATTGCTATAACAATGATAAAAATAATTGTAATATTTTTCTAACTAATTAAATGTATGGTCCCCCTAGATTACTAAATTATATTGTCCATTAAAATTTATGGCATCAATATAAATATCCATACATAAGTTAAATATTTTATATTTACATTACACATTTGTATATCAAAATTTAAAATGTAATACATCCATTATCTAATATAAAATTTTGTATATATTGTACGCATACATATAATATACAAATTTTTATTTTTATTTTGTTCATGTGCACAGATGAATACTAGTTTATATTAACATTAATTATCTCAACTAATATTTATTTAGTTTATCTATCACTAGTTAACTATCAAACACTCATTATTTAATTATTTGACACGTGTTCAGTTGTGACTCTTTTTTTTTAATACAAATAATTAAAAGTACGTGACATATTTATTTAGTTTATTGATTACGGAAGATGTCCGTTCTCAATCTGAAACTTCGTACCTATAGTATGATGTGTGACATATTTATTTAGTTTATTGATTACGGAAGATGTCCGTTCTCAATCTGAAACTTCGTACCTATAGTATGATGCTTTCCGGAAGGTATGGTTTGCGTTAATAAATCAGATTAAGTACAATTGAGAAACAAATGCAAAATGAAGCAATAACATACTTCCTATTTGATGCAAGTGATTGAAAGTAATGGAAAACAAATTTCTCTAGAATAAACGTCAAATCTTATATTTCATTTCCGTATACATCTCAATAAACTTAATTTCCACCTAGCCTAGTAAACAAATGATAAGGTTAGTTAACCAACCTTATCATATCCTATCACGGCTAGTAAACGAGCTCATAGGACACAAGGAAACAATTTTCTCAATATAAATTACTAAGAAACATATTTCTCAAACTCTCCATCGAAGGGTAAATTTTTTATTGCATAAAAATTTAAAATAACTACTAAAATAACTAATGATGCTTCTTCACTCCACTGCAATTAAAATAACTAATAAAATAACTAATGATGTTTCTTCACTCCATTGCTTTCTAGGATGAGGAAGCTAGGAACACATCTCTCCATGAAAGGGTAAATTTTTATTACATCAAAAATTAAAATAACTACTAATAACTAATGATGGGTAAATTTTTATTACATAAAAAATTAAAATAACTACTAAAATAACTAATGATGCTTCTTCACTCCATTGCTGATGAGGAAGCTAGGAACACATGTGACCGAGCGTTGCTTGTTTTCTGTGGTCATCATTCTTGGACCAGTGACATCTTTCTCTAGTTTTCTGTGGTCATCTTTCTTGGACCAATGACATCTTTCTCCAATTCTTAATGAGTAACCTCCATTATATAATGATTTGAAATGTAACGTTTATACTTGACAGATTTTTTATAAAACTTTATTATATTTTTTATTAAATATTTTAGTTTAATTTCTTTATCTAATTTTAATAATTTTTACTTTATAAATTAAAATAATTATAAGTGTTTGTATGCTTCTTTCTTGAATTTTATAATTTTTTTATCTTAAATTTTTTACATAAATATTAAATCTAATGGTAGTGAAATTAGATATAAAATATTTTAAAAACATGGGCAATGAATAACACACAAACATTCTTCATAACAAATAAATAAATAAATAACAGCATGTTTGTAGAATATTTTTTATTTCATTTTCTACAAAAAAGAAATTAAATCTAATGAAAGTGAAATTAGATATAAAATGTTTTAAAAACATGCGTAATGAATCACATAAACATTCTTCATAATAAATAAATAAATAACATCATGTTTATAGATTTTTTTTTTTT